AGTTATCAATATTTGCGCTTTGCTGCATTTTGTTTGTTCTTTGAAATCGTAATGTATGGTTTAAGGTTATTACTCTGGCAAAGGTGTTTGATATGTAAATCTGGGAGAGGATCAAATGAGAGAAGGATAATAGAACTCAAAGAGAAAGAACAAGCGCAGCTCTGCCCATTCAGATAAACAGCTCTCTGAGCGATACCCAGCATCCCCTGCTCCCAGTTCACTGAATACCACAAGCCTTGAGACGTGTTTTTGTCTGAGGCGCTTTTGACTTTTACACCGTTTCCACATCATGTGAGCGTTATACTGTGGATCCCAAAAAAAAAAGTTTCCATTAAAAACAAACAATACTGTCTACACTGGAAGCTTATACAGAGCTGAAGAGCTTCTTTATTTTTTTATTTGAATAAAGTGTATTTATAAATGCCATATATGTGATATGACTGCTATGAATTTAATGAACTTATCACAATCAACTTGTGATGTTACTAAACTGGTTTACAAATGTAATCTTCTGCTTCTTCCCATTTACAGGTGTGTGTTAATAGCAAAATGAAATGGAAGTTGGGGAACAATGTAACAAGGATAAAAATAAATATTTCAAATTCTATATTGTAGCTTCTTAAAATAAAAGACCCTTTTTGGCTATCATAGCAAATTCTAGACATTTTATTAGATTACATCATGAGGTGCATCCTGGGATCCTTTTTAAATAGTACTGAAGGAATGCCCTTTGTGGACACTTGACCTTCTTCTTTCTTTATGCACAATTTGTAACATTTCAAGAATCTAAATATACAAGCACCACTGCACAACAGACACTACACCTGCATTACCCTCCAGGGCAAGTCTCTGCCAGTGTAGCAAATATATTAACCAACAAGCTACTCAAGTAATACCTTACATATATAATAAAACTAAGGTTTCATAATGTACAGTTTACTTCGTAATACAGCAGGCTCAGCCCTGTTTGTTTGAAGTTTGTTTAGTCGGCACACATTGTACTTTCAGAGGTCATACAAGCGGGCTGAGTACCAACTCATACAGATTTTCCATGCAAACAAATGGGACAGCAGTTATCAATAAACTCGTGGCTGTGAACTGTCAAAACCTCTGCCTGAGCTGCACGCATTTCACAGCAGAAAGAAAAAAAATCAAATGCAACATCAGAGTCTCTGCTGATTCTCTAGATGGCAGTAATATGCCTCACTCATTCACATATCAAGCCGTGCATGAAGACAGCGTAGTATCACGTGAGAGAGGGAGGTTATGTCCGATCTGTCACGTTCAAATAAATTGAGATAATTACTTAAATTCAGTTTTGACCAATCTTGCAAAATGAAACTTCTTCAATCTGTTTCATGTTCAAACATTTATAGCATATCCTGGGAAGAAAAGATGGGCTTGAGCAACGTTCTTGTAGATTCTTCTTTATAATGACAGCAGTATTGGGAATAGTGATTCTTTGTTATGAAAACTGCACATAAATACCAGATACATTTAAAACAGGATGTTTTAAGTAAAGCAAATATCCTTTTTTAATAATTTACTGTTGAATGAAAGTCTGGGCAGTCTTGGACAAGGCCAAAATGGAGAAATTACAGAATATTTAACCTTATAAAAATGAGCAGAGAAGCTGTTAGACAGAATAAAAAGCTTAAAGCTATTAAAGCCCTCAATTATAATTGCACTATTTAAAGCATGTATTGTTTAAAACCAAAAGTCATAAAAATCTAATGCACATTATTTGAATAAAATTAGCTCTTAATTTTCAACTCGGGTTATTTTAAAATCATCCTGGGGGACAGAAAAGTTCACCTCACTGAAGAATCACTTACACACACACACACACACACACACAC